TGAAGTTCAGCAATATAGATCAAGGACAATTTGATAAGTAAGAATTGTCTTCAAATAAGTGTACATGAACAAACCAAACCAATCAACCTAATCCAATAAATTCTGTAACCACTTTTGGTGTCTTAAGGAAGAAGATATGTTCCCTTTATCTGCTGCAGTTGCCAATGATCAGCAGTCAATGCTAAAGAAGTTATGCTTCTTACTCACCACAAGACTAGGGTCATTCTGGAAGATATCAGAGACAATGAGTGACAGATATTGACATTCATGAGGCAGTGTGTCTCAAAGTCAGCCATTGTGGATAAGACCAGATTATAAAGCCAAGCTCAGATCACACTCCCATTTTATTTCATCCTAACATCCCAAACCATACATATTTTAGGAGAATCTCTAACATGAATTTACCTGCATTCAAAGTAAATTGTACCTTTGCAGTAGTCATGTCTGTACTTAATTGATACCCATCAATCATTTTCATCTTTCATGTTGATCATGCACATCAAATACAACTGGTTTGAGTGATCAGTGCATAATGTTCATGAGAACTTGACAGTTCTAAATATCTTCTTTTAAGAGTATCGAACATGTTGACATACTAATGCTTTCCTCAAAACAAATTAATCGTGAGGTAGCAAGTTAGATAGTTTTACACCAATTCACGTGAAAGGAGAATTACCAGCAAGACTGATTCCAAAGGTCTCCTCCTACCTTTCAGATCACACTTCAATATGATTCAAATACTTATCAAGTGAACTGCTAGTACCAAAGTATAACATAGTGTACAATGTAATGTAAGCAGCAGGGAAGACCAAAAGACAAGCCATGAAGATCTGTGGCCATCACCAAAAAAGGAAAATGGCCATCATCAAAGAGTAAATATGGTCACTTTAATAAACATTCAGCAAACCCACATGGCAAGTAAAAAGCTTATATGAACTCCAGATCATTGTCAGGATATACTCCTGTACCATCACTTAACAAACATGTATTGAACAGTGAGTTAAATAGAGTACCAAACAGAAGACCAAAAGGTGAGACTGAAGACCACCAAACATCCCATCTATCAGCACAAGTCACCAGCCAGTCCAATCAGCAGCACCAAGTCAAGAATAAGTTCAGCATATCAGAAGTACCTGCAATCCCACAAGGCAATGAAACACAAACCTGTCATCCCTCAGAATAATACAGCAGAACATTTGCAGAAAGAAAGATCTACAAACGAAAGAGGAAATGAATCCAAAATTGGATTGCTCTTCGTATGAAAGGCTAAAAATGTTGAAGCAGAGGACAGACGTAAACTAGTTTTGGCTAATGCATCATACAGTAGTTACCTTAAAAATAGGATTTTTAGCAGCACAGCAGTCTCCCTACACTAAAAGCTTTCATTACAAGGGCTTAACGAGCTATAAAGAAGATTAAGTTGAGAAAGAGAAGAGATGAAGACTAGCGTAACGAGTAATTTGCATCTCCAACTACAGCCGCCGGCCGCTGAGGAATCGGATCTGCTCGTAATTCTTCTTGATGAAATCGTCGCATCGCCTGTTCAACTCGTCCTGACCCGTAGATGAGGGAGGGGCCTCCGGTTGCCTCGAGCCCCGCCCGGACGACGCCGTCGGTGGCGGTACCTCCGCTGCCCGAGGCGACTTCTCCATGATCGCCTTCCATGTTGCCTCCATCGAGTCATTCGCTGTCCCAGCCGCAGTGGCCGCCGCCGCTGCCTCGTCCTCATCTTTCTTCACCGTAAGGCTGCTCATGGACTCCGGTTCGACGCTCTTCTTGACCGCAGACGCTGACGAAGCGGTGGAAATCTCTCCGGACTCCGTCGTCAGGCACGACGCGTCGGACGTCGAGAATTCACCGGGATCCGGCGCCCGGACAGCCGGTGTTGTCAGAGACGGCGAGATCTCGTCGCGCCACATCTCCGGCGAGGGTTTCCGGAGAATGGGCACGGGAGAAATATGCAAAGGCTCGAAAGATTTGACCTTTGCAGGATTCTCAGGCTCCGCCACGCGCTCAGCCGCCGCCCATTGCTCGCGGTGTTGGTGATGCTCCTGCTTCTGATCGGAGAGCTTCCAGATGACAAGGATGATCAAATGGACGGCGATGAACAGGTACGGAGGCGCGAGCCAAGAGCGAAGGAACTCCCAGAAGCCAGGGACCGCGGAGGCCAGCGCCCCGGCAGCAGCAGGGATGGCGGCCCTGGCTGCTGCGCCGAAGGAGAGGATGCCGAGGAAGCAAAAAGCGATCTTGGCGGCCCAAATCGCAGTGTCATATCCATTTGTCTGAGAATTCCATCGCGGATTCGCCATCTCTATGAGCAATCTTACGAAAAGAACGAGGAAAATCTCAAACCAAACGAAAACAACAAATAATAAAGCTCGAACAAGACGCTAAATCCAGAAGCAGGAGAGCGCCACTGGCATCGGAGATCCGAGGCAAGACACCATTGCCGGCAAATCTCGAACCTTTCTTTGCGTTTGTGTGTGTGTGAGAGATAGCGAGAGAGAAATAGAGGTGGTTAGAGATGAAGTGGGCTATTTATCACATGACTTATTTTAATTACTGTGCAAGAAAAAGGACACAAATGACTTACATTTTCACCAAATACCTTTAATTGGTGAGAGGAATACATGTGTATATTTAATATTCCATGGAATACAAATTAAGGTTAAAACATTACTCAATAATTTAAAGATAACGACTTATTTGATGAGTATTTACGAAACAATATAACGACCGTTCATCATCTCATCATACACAATCGCATGGAATGGTATTTCCCATGAAGAAAGAAGTCAAGTCAACGGTCGTGCAATTACCAAACATTTGTTAATCTTAAAGCAACGTTCAAGTAAAATATACACGAAGTGGATGGACAGGATCGACTCAGCCAAACTGTCCCTCTTCATGAGTTTTGGCTGCATGTAAACCACACACACACACACACACACACACACATCGACAAACATATCTTTTCTCCTCCTTCCCTGAAAGAACATTTGGCAATTGGATGAGTCTCATTCATAGCCTCAAAGTTCGAAGGCACACTTGAATCTAAAGCAACACACACTAATGATCACCACTTCATCTTTACATCGTCGTCCTCGAAGCCCAATGACAGTGAAAGCCGCCATCTCAAGCCTTTCCTCCAGCAGCATCAGTGAAGACGCTTGGAACTAAAACAATCATCACAGCTTTGTCTTTGTTCCCTATGTAACAATGGATTAACAAATAGCAGAAACACTACCCACATTCGTACATATGCATATCGATCTTTCTCAGGCCCTCGATCATCCTTTCTTTTTATCTAACCGAAGAAAGGGATGGTTTTAGGCATCGTTTGATTCCGAGGATAAAAGAAAGCATGAGATATCACAGCCACAGTTGTTACAGTGCAATCCTCGCCATCTCGAAGGCTTTCGTTGATGCCCAGAAGCCATTGGAACTGTGATTAGCAAGTTGATGAGCAGATCCTACTTCTCAAGTACAGGAAAAAAAGAAAAAACGGAGACTTCGACTGTGTCGGGAGACAAACGATGTCGAGTATCCACAAGAAAGTGATTGACAGATTCGACAGTCTTGGATTTTGATGGAGTTGAGGCCGCAGTACCATGTGATTCATAGATTGCTCCCACGAGGAGTTTCCTATGAAATTTGAGAAGCTTAATTGAAGAGTTTGTACATCCAAAAGCCCATATAAACAAAGCATTTTGCACAATCTATGACAAGATATTGGAGGAATTTTTAAGAGGATTTTTTCCATAAAAATGAGGAAATTTTAGTCGAACATTCCTGAAAATCTCACTCAAAAAAATCCACATTTAATTAATATTTATGGAAAATTAAAATTTGCAATTTTGACTTGAATCCCTATCTGAAGTGAGTTGATGGCTGCAGAGCAATCATTTGATCAGCAATTTATGTCATAATTCCTTTCTAAATTCCATATGGATAGATTCATCTATTCTGTTCTTTTGTCCGCAGTTCTTTGAGAAAGGGGCATTGCCTCAAATGTATTCATGAGATGTGAACAAGGAGAAACAGGCTTTACAACGCATACCTTTGAGGTAATTCCCATACATCACAAAATGAACTCTGTTCTTAAAGTAGGAAAAGTGCCAGCTCTGAACTACGCTCAACATTGTCAAAGCTCATATTTAATACAACTAATCCACATATTGCCATCAAAAGACAACTGCAGATTACAGTACAAATCTTATTAGGTGTGTACAGAAAAATATTTTGGTCTTACAAGAGGCCAGCTTGCATTTCCAAGAGGAAGGGAACTTTTTCCTGGACTCATTTGAAGCCTCAAGCAATAGGCTGCAGCTTACATGAAGTTATAAGAGGAACTACAGATGTCTGGGTCATCTAGATTCAACAGTGTACTTGAGCTTGAAAGAGATTAGACTACAGATGTGGGCTCCAAAAAATTGTCCAAGTATTCTTTCAGCTTGACTTTGGTGATTGCACCTTCCCTTCTACTTTCTGGAACTTCTTGCCCATTCTTGAAGAGGATCAATGTTGGCAGGCCATAAACCTTGTACTCTGTGATCAACTTAGGATTTGCATCATGATCGATCTTCACAACCTTTACTCTGCCCTTGTATTCCTGAAAGCTTCAAATTTCCAGTCAGAGAATTTAAACGTTACATCATTTAGTAAAACTATGATGCCCAATACACAAAACATGTAGGTGCCTGAAACATGTGATAAAATTGTAAGCAGATATCAAGCAAACCTTTAGAGCTGTAGTTTTGCTCGTATAACATGAACGTTACGCAATCATCTCAACTATTGGGTTGGCTACATGGATTTTTTCCTGCGATTGTAGCTATTGAAGGTAATATCACTAAAAAACAAGTTCAATTGGTCTTAAATCAGTGACCAGTCAGTGCATTTAGATTAGGTTCAGGTATGTACTCACTCCTAGGGAACTGTCCGACAACAACTGTTTTATGATCATTTGATCGTATAGCTAGACATGAATAGAGAAGAAATATTCTAAAACTTTTTCTATTCATAGGCAATGATTATACTTTGCATATTGCCTTCCATTATAAAGTGTTAAATTTTCAAGGAACTAGTGGAACCTGAAGTATCTGTTCTTAGTTATGCATGTTTGGGAAAAAAGTGGGTCAATATGCATCTCTAGCTAACAATGTGAATCAGATAAACATGTACTTGCAAATCTGGTTCACTTCAACGGATTGGCTAAACCTTACATGATCCAATGGAGAAACTATGATATCTACATACTATAATTTTTGTTCTAGATCTAGGAATTCAGCAAGGAATTTAATAGATTAACATACAAACTTACTACATATCCAGCTCAATTTAACCCTATTACAGCACTCATGCATGTTATACATCATTTGAAACCTCTAAACAATAAGAGACTCCACTTCAAAAACAAAAAAGAGTGATTGTAAGGACAACTTATGTTGGACCTTTTTGTCTGATACAAGACTATCATCCAATGAACTTATTCAGTAAATGTAGCATTTTGCAGTTACTTATCCTTGATGAATAATTGTCTGATTCTTCATGTACATATATATTTTTTCAAATATCAACATTAGTTCTAATTGAACGGAACAGATCTATAACATGTTTCCACATATTTTACTCTTATATTTTCAGGAAACTAAAACTTAAATAGCATTAATTTAAGATTGATTACATGGTACTAATAACATAACAAAAAAGTTCAGTTATGTCTGCTGATTAGCTCTTGGACATCATAGCTTAAGAGCAGCAATTATTGCGACACTCCTTAAAGTTCTGCCATGGAACGACTGCATATCATTTTCTATCTAAATCTCAAAAGTAACAACAGTCATAGTTTCTCCATATCATTATCTCACAGGTTAGAATCCTAATATGTAACTTTGCGATATAGACTTATGACACTTCTTTGAATAGATAATGCACCAGTGTTTGGCAATATATAACCCTGCACCATCATACACACTCATCAATTTTGGAGCAATAAGAACACAATTGAGAATCATTCTCATAATCTTAGTCATTATTCTAGCATATGAAATGAATTTTTACATGTCATACACAATGAGATATCAAATTGAGATACTGTGGCAACACCAGTAACAACATGTCAAAGATCTTGGTGTAAGGCTAACGTGGAATATCAAAATCAATTTACCTAGCATTGATTCTAAGCATGATCGTGATGGAAATAAGAACTTCAATAATTATGGGCCTAATAGCTAAAATTACAGAGAAATTGATACATATCCACTATGCCTTGTTGGCTCCCCAACATGACAACAACATGGGAGGAGAAGTAGGTGAAGTGCTCATTCTCAGGAAGATGGATGACCTGAACTGTGGGAATATAGGAGGGATTAGTTTCCATGGGAAGATGCAAAGAAGTTGGAAGGAGAGTACTTGAGTTGATGGTAGCAGGGGGCGGCATGGTAGTGGAAGCATTGTAAGGCATAAGCTGCTTGCGGCAGAACATGGACACCTACTTCCTCTTTATAAGCAGAAGAGGGGAAGATGGACTTGGGATGGCGGCGATTAGAGATTAAGGACAGGAAAAACGCAATCACAGTTATCCAAAGGCACAGAATCGAATGATGTGGTTGTTTGTGGGATGGAAGGTCTCACAGTAGCCAATTTCCATCGATCACCCCAGTGATTTGGCTCCTCCACAAAGGAGGCTTCCTTCTAGATACAAGAATCATTTCAACCCAGTACAGGTTAAAATGCTGTCATCTACCAATATAAGGCTTTAATAAAACAAAACAACAAATATTTTGTCACGCAATATCTCGATGTTCTATGCACCTTCCTAATTGAGAATCTACTAAAAGTGGTTTTGCAACAATCCTGGACGTGCATCTTACATTCAATGCATATTATTTTAGCCTAAAAGCATCATTTTCTGACAAAAAGGAATTAAAATGCTCATGTCCCTTTGAATTCAATCTTTCATTAAACAAAACCCCCAAAAAATCGATTTTTATACTGATATAACGCGACAATTAACAGAAAGGAGAAATCTTGCAATGGTTTGGCACAAGAAGAGACCTGGGAAGCCCACTCGACGACGGATGAGATCAAACGGCAGGGCCCGCACCAATCGGCGACGAACTCCACCAGGACCGGGATATCAGACCCCAGCACCTCAGCCGGGAACTCGCTCTGGTCGATCTGGACGAGCGCGCCGCAGCGGACGGAGAGCCTCCTGGCGGCGAGGCGAAAAGGGGCGACGTGCCGCCGCGCCCCCCACCGAGCTGCCGGAGCAGGGGGGCGTGTCAGCGGGAGGCGGATGCGGCGGCTGAGGTCGAGATGCGGACCGAACGAGGAGGCGGAGGGGGCTCGAACGGCCGCGGAGGGGGAGAAGCTCGTCGTCGCCATGGACGGAGAGGGCGCGGGCGCTTCTCAAGCTGTGTGGCTCTTCGTGCGGCTCGTGGTAATCCGAGTCCACTCGTTTGGGAATGGCGAGAGTCGAATCGCGACATAGAGAGTGTCGAGTACATGCCTCACATTCGAACCAGGTTTATCGACATTTTTATTTATTTATTTATTTAGCTATAAATTTAGCGTCCTCTCTTCTGCATGCTAAAATATGGAAAAATAACCTTAATTATCATGTAGATTTATTAGTAATTCTTCAGCACAAGATTTAGTGGCCTCTCTTTTGCCTTTAGCCAACAATTTTTTTTTCTAAATTATGAAAAATGAATCCCAGTAATGATATTTTACCATTTTTCATTCTTAAATTTACAGATCATTATACTATTTTTAATAGCGACGAACAAAAAATTTATGTTTTATTGTGAATATATATATATATATATATATATATATATATATATATATATATATATATATATATATATATATATATATATATATATATAAAATTTGGAATTCAATGTCTTCAGCTCTTGGGAAGGTTGCTACTTTTGGTAGATATCGTGCTGTCGCTGACACGAGTCTCGTGCGTTTCTTTCAGCGCCCCCGGTCGTTTCAAAACCTTCCCTTTTGCCCTGCGTTCTCGCCACCGAAAGTTCCCTCTGCCTCTCCCTCTCCCTCTCCCGACCCCGTCACCATGTCCTCCGCCGGCCCCGGCTCCGACTTCCAGGAGTACTTCTGCCACCAATGCCAACGCAACGTCGCCATCTTCCCCTCCTCTACCCTCGACATCACCTGCCCTATCTGCCGTGGTGGATTCCTCGAGGAGGTCGACCCTACGCCTCCCAGCCCCGATCCCGCCCCTTTCCCCATCCGTAACGCCATCTTCCCCCTCTCCATTCCCCGTGGCAGCTACGACTCCTTCCTCCTCTCCCCATCCCCCCTCCCATTTCTCTTGTCTCCAACCAGCAACTTCGAGCTTCGCAGCCCTAGGGACCTCGCCGACCTCCTCGGCCCCGTCCGCTCCTCCGAACCCTCCCCCACCCCTGGACCCGCTCCTTTCAATCCGATGCTCTTCCTCCAGGATTACATGCGGCAGTTGCTCTCCGGTGGCGCCAACATCCAGGTCGTTCTCGAGGGTGGTCCCGTCGTCGGCGCCGGCAACCTCGGGGACTATTTTATTGGCCCTGGCCTCGAGAGGCTCATCCAGCAGCTCGCGGAGAACGATCCCAATCGTTATGGCACGCCTCCGGCTGCCAAATCCGCTGTTGAATCCCTGCCGGACATCAGGATCTCGGCCGAGTCGCTTGCCTCCGACGAGGCCCAGTGTGCCGTGTGCAAGGACGCATTCGAGATGGGGGATGAGGCAAAGTTGATGCCTTGCAAGCATATCTACCATAAAGACTGCATCTTGCCGTGGCTTGGGTTGCATAATTCCTGTCCGGTGTGCCGGTATGAGCTGCCTACTGACGATACGGACTACGAGCAGCGCAGAGGGGCCCCTGCAGCGAGGACATTGTCTGGGGTGGGGAATTCTGGTGGGTCCACAGCTGGGGCTTCTGTAGAGGGGAATTCTCCAGGATCGGGGATGTTGCAGAGGAGTTTTAGTATCTCTCTGCCCTGGCCATTTATGCCTTTTGCAACTCAAGGTCTGGATGGGCATGTTGTTGGAGTTGGTGATGGGGGTAATGGCAACGCCCGTGGTAATAGCAATGACGCAAATTCTGGACAGCAAGGGTACAGGCAGTCAGAGGCTGAGCAGGAAGATCTGGATTGAGAAGAGTTGAGAGGTACAGTCTCTGACATTACTCTTGAGATTCTTTCATTTCTGATAATGAAAGCCATTGAATGTTTTGTCATTTTGATTCATGGTGTTTGTTATATTATGATGTTTCTAGTCGGAGATATATTATTGTCATTCATAACTACTCAGACATGTTTCTCCATATGAATTTCTTAATGCTATTTTATTGTCTTATGTGCTTGTTTCTGGCCCAACTGTAGGTTTTAATGGCAGATTATTGAGTTGTAGGTTTCCTTGCTCTTTTTGATATGACCGAATTAATATACTTCTAACTAGATTTTATTGCACACTTCTTTATTTCTATTATTTCAGACTGCACTATTTAGTTCTTGGAACTATGCAGATTATAAAATATCTTGAAATTGATCAATTTCTTGCTGTAATTTTTATATGTTGACCAAGTTGGAACAAAGAGTGCAAGCGTTTCTGACTTTCTTCTTGTAGATTTCAATGGTGTAGTCAACAAATGTGTTTTCTTGTGATGATTATCCCCACATGCTACCTAAGAATTTTAGCATTTAGAATATATGACATGTAAGAAGCTTAGAGAGGAAGTGATATGGTAAACAGCCATTAGTTCAAATGAACTAGTGGCATGGTTAGCCTTCCTTTTTTGCCATTCGATGAATATGCTAAATTGGGACTCAAAGTTATTATAGATACACATGAGACTATTATGGCATCTTAGATCACATAACTTCAAATGGATATGATGATGTCAATTTTCTCTATTTTGATGGTTGATGTAGATAATGCTAGATTTGAGTGGTTTTAGATGGATGTCCCTTGAAATAAAATAATATTTTATTTCAATTTTGATTTATTTAAACAACTTTCTCCTAGGTGTTGCTTAGTAAATATAGAGTTATATTTGAAGATAGATTTCACATAATTAAATGTAGATGCATGCATATTGGTAGCAAATTTTCATCTATTGAAGTGCATATGCAGGACCAAACTACCTTTTTAAAATTTGTAACAGTGCTGTCTGTAAATGAACTTGTTATAGACACTGTGCATAAATTATTATTAGTAGAAATAGTAAAACATATGAATGTATAAAATTACGGAACATCAGATATGAATTGATGTACAATGTGTATGGCACTTGTTGGCTTGGTTAGTTGTCCTCTATCTATCTTGGTGCAAAGACATGTGCCTTAGTGCCTCCTGCAAGAGCTGCATCTAATTGTGCTGGTCTAGGACACATAAAGCCAGTGTGGTTGCATCAGCGGAATGTACATGCATATGGAAGTGGCAGTCAAAATTACTGAGGGCTAATACATTCTCCTTCGTAAACCTTCCAAAATTTCCACCATGGCATCCTCATTTATCATTCTTAAACCACCTAAACTGCCGGAAACTGGGTTCTCCAGATGTGTTATGTAACCTGGTTATGGCTAGTGATAATAGTCAATGACAACAACTAAAATGACCTCATTCATGACCTTACAATGGCCACTCAAGTTTTGGTTTAAAAGATTCGGAAAGTACTAGAAACCATAATGAACCTTAAAACCAACCTTCCAGCACACAGATAATTGGGGCACAAATACTTTCATATTTGTGATACACAATATATAACCTTCAACTGGCACAAGAAAAATGAGAGAAATTGGTCGATGCAGCAGATGTGGTTCAATCTTCACACAGAACCTTGGATTGGTAATGTTTCAAGCTCTAGGCTAAACGGAAAATTGCAAAGCAGTCTGTACATGTAGCAGCTGTGCAAGTTGAATGCCATCTTGATGATTCAAGAAGGTTTAGTCTTTGGATAAGTTATTGGCATCTCCAAAATCAGATCTGGATACTTATCATTTGAGGAGCTCCAGATAGGAGAAAACTACCATCCTGCTATGTTACTGATAAAGGAGCCTTGTTTGTGGTTTTGTACCGTAGTCCCAAGGGGCATACTTATATAAAGGAGCTAGAAAATCCGAGTAACGGTTGTCTCCATAACTGTCTAATTGCAGGTAGAAAATTCCTGGTTGAAGCTGAACTTTGGCATAAGAGGGACTTATAAATTTAGTACTGGCGGGAATATTAAGCTTGTTTTTTGCTGATGTAATCTGGTAAAATTTGCCCTCAAAATTTGGTGTTGGAAGAAAATGGGGAACAAGTTTTGGATTAGTCGTCGATAATCATATACATGTAGCTGGTACAATTACCTTATTGGCTGTTTAATGATCTGGGTACTAATTTGTAATTAGCAAGAGAGAAATGGAAAGGATAAAACATCAACCAAAGCAGACACAATGGTCTTTCCTGTATCATCTTTATTTCTTCGGTTGTGGTCCTTGTATAGCTTCAAAGTTTTAGCTGGATGTGGTCACTATATGAAAGAGGATCAGTGTCATGCATTCCACTTACCAGCTGGCAGCGAAGGACATGAGCCAAGCCCATCAACATGTGCCCTACACGTGTGTGGACAGACTAGTACAATAACAATCCTCTGAATTCTGCCCATGATCGATAATTCATTGCATAGTCGGGGTTGTGATGCATTATTACATATTTATGATTCTTCTTTGGCGGGTATGCTCTTGTTTTGTTGAAACGTTGGCTTTTTCTCAATGTAGAAGCTACATTGGTTCACAGAATAACACCTCACTCTGTACTCTGCCCATGATTGATTATTCATTAGCCTAGTTGGGGTTGTGATGCACTGTTCCATTTTATGATTCTACGTTTGGTGGTTGTTCCCTGGTTTTGTTGAAATTCTGGCTGTTTTATTCAATGTAGAAGCTGCAAACAATCACACAATTGATTCGAGATTTTTCGCTGTAAAGTTGATGTTTATGGCAGCAAGCATTTACCAATATCTTTCTGAATCATTAGTTATTCTACTTGTGGTCTTTTCTTTTTTCTACTTTACTGTTGTTGAGAAAACTTCTCACTTGCTAAGTAAATCCAGAACCCTTGCAGCCATTGGCAAAAAAGGAAAAATGCCTGGAGGTGTCATCTTGAGTTTCCAAATTTCTAGCAGCCTTCCCATTCTTGTTTGACTTTACATTCACCTCAACAATTGTTATCCTCACTCCCAAGTCTTGGAAAGAATGTTTGATATTTTAATCTACAAAATTTCTCTACTTTTCTGATGATGGCTGCAAAATATTTTCCTGCTATATATTTTTTTAATCTGGCTATTTTCCCTTTCAGGATGGAACTCAGGGACGCTCTCCGAGGTATATATTCCAGCATTTTGCAGCGAAACATCCAGAATTCAAGTATCTCCATATTTTGATCTGTTTTTATCTATCGGGAAAAAAAGATATATATATATTTGTTATATACTTCTTTTCTGGTACGATGATCTGAGGCTTAATTCTAATACCTTGAGCAAGTGATTCCGGAAGCCACTAACAGGGATCATTCGGTGGCATAATGTTTGGGTACAATATTGGATATGTTTATGTGATACCATTTGTAATATTTATTTAAATTATTGGCAAAATATTTATTTTATTTTTTATTTGTTTAACTTCGTTCTGCAAAACACTCATTTTGAATTTTTGGGTGAGAAATATTATGTTCTTGTACTGCAGATAAATCTGATCTACAGTGGTAGAAATAGTCGGAACTAATTCTCATACCAAGTAAGAACAGGGGAACCTATCGATTGAATCAGGCAATTTCTACAGGAGCTTCTTTGCCAATCACCGTACAGTAAAAGCACAATTACATCTGCAAGCAAGATTTGAGCACGAAACACCAAACACAGAGCGGCATCTAATCTAAGAAAAGCCACAAAAATTTCAGTATCAGCACAGGTGTAATTTGTACAGGGCTGGAATGAAGAACTCAAAGGAGTTTACAGGACAACGTTCATCGACTCACAATCCTTCTCTGTCGATTCCAGCAGGAGTGATCTCCCAAGTCCCGGAAAGATCTTCCATCAACTCCAACTCCTCTTCCTCCTCCTCGATCGTGTCTAGTACCTTCGCTGCCTTGCGCTTCACGACCGAGACCAGCTCTGGCGGCGCCACCTCCGTCGCAAACTTAGAACCGTAGTAGCCTTTCGCCATCCTGTGAACTATCATGCCTAGGGTTGGAGGAGTAGGTAGAAGCACAAAGAAGGCACTCTCGGAATGCTCCAATCTTCTTCGTTGATCCCAGCAGGTCATAACAGAGTATTTATAGACTAAAAGAGAAACGTTCTTCACAAGTCATATACCTTCTAGATTTTGTGTGAGAGTAGACCTTTCGTGTGTGCTTTGGCTTACGCTGGGTAGGAAAAATATGGCCATTAGGGCACACGTCTGTTCTCCCTTTGTCTTCTTCCTCCTCTGTGTCTGTGGAGGACGCATACGATATGCTGCAGCCAACCATGACCACTTGATGATTAATACGCGTGCAGGGAAGTTTCTAGGAAAGGAGTTCCTGTTGAGGCCGTGTCTGAATAGCCACGTGTTGCTTTGTGATTTGGTTACGTCTCTCTATCTAGATGGGTTTGGGTCAATTGATTCGAGAATTACTTAGCTTTCAATCATGGCTCTCTTAATGTCTCAAGTCAAGCATGACAAATTAGTTTATGTCAAAATATAAAATCATTGACCTTGTCTCATCTGACTTAGATGCAATAATATTAATAAACAATTTAAGATGATAGAGAAGATTAATAGATATTTATATCTTCGTGAGCGGGTGTGAAAATGTCAAATCACACATCATGTCTCACATCCAAAGGCGTTTCTAGATGCTATATATATATATATATATATATATATATATATATATATATATATATATATATATATATATATGTAGCAGTCCTTTATAATATTAAGGATTAATTAGGATGTACTACGATGTCATGTGCATGGTAAAAACTCAGCAATAAAATTAAATATGATTCTATTGATTAAAATAAAATATAAAAATATAAAAATTATTTGAAATCGTTATAAGCTATCTTAAGGAAGAATTTGGTATAGGTTTAATATTACAAACACAAGAAGACCAAAAAAATCAAGGAAGATATCTATGATTTTAAACAGTATAAAATCAAGCAATAGATATTTTTTTTTTATTGAAGAGTTGATATATAACTAATAGGGGCAATAAATATTGATTATTTGTAATCATAGACAATAAAATTAATTAAAATATTAAATAAAATAAAATTATTATGAGATTTTCGTTTTAGAATAAAATCTCTACCGATCCATCATAATGTTGTTTATTAAAAAAAATTAAAACATAAAATATTTACTCAAATAATTTATTTGATATTTATACTATGGGTAAAATATCTTAGAGATTTAAACTTTACTTAGTGTGACCATTTTTGTCAAAACTAAATTAATCAAGTCTAAGTTCCATTTATTCAAACTTCAACCATCATACATAATATTGATATATATCAAAACTTGCTAGTAACTAAATCGGTATGCAATAGTAAATCAAGGTAAGAGAAAAAATACAAATCGATTTACGATTTGATCGTAAATCGAATGAATAGAAGATAAAAGAATAGAATATAAGAAGAATTATTGAAGAAGTTTTATTGAAAAAGCTTGAATGCATTAATATGTCCTTCTATTTATAGTCCTATTTATAGAGATTTGGAGGGAGGATTTCCCTCAACAGAATATAGAGCTGTTGCTGGGTTGCTACGGTAAGGACGACGACAACGACAATTCTCGCTTGAGCGAGATACGGGAACGAGGAGGAGAGATCGTTGGCCGGGGAGCAGTTGCAAGGCTACGTTGGCTCTGCTTCTACAGGAAGAGGTGGAGGAAGGGCGACAGTAAAGAATGCCACCGATGCAGGGAGGAGAAGAGGGCGCGGTGTGGTGGCCCTTGTTCAGCTTCGAAGGAGGCCGACACAATGATCCTGGAGGACGTCCGTGGAAAACGTTGCACTACTCTAAGATAGAGTCACGATGTTCAACTTCGAAGGAGACCGACACAATGATCCTGGAGGACGTCCGTGGAAAATGTTGCACTACTTTGAGATAGAGTCACGGTCCGGATTTCGCTCAACAGAATAGAGGATTTCCCTCAATAGAATAGCAAGATTTCCTCCTGTAGTTGGGAAAATTTTATCTGCTATTAGTCCTGATCAAGTACCTTTATTACAACTCTTCTCCTTTTAACGCTTAAGGGAGAACCTCCACACTCTAGCTTTTACAAGAGATCTCACCTCGTATGACTTAGAACCACTTCTAAACTCAAGAATGTGATAGAAACTTAAACAATGCTTAAAGAGAGAGTTTACAATACCTTTGAATTCAAAAATTAGTGCTCCATCAAGCAAGTATGAGTGAGATATTTATAGACCCAAAATACTTCATAAATAGTGCTAAAAATTCAAATCCCTAAAATTTTTAGGTACTAGTGATACTACCGTTAGTACCGAATGGTACTATCTTTATAATGAGGCCATGAATCAAGACTCTAAAGATACTATCGCTAGCCTAAGTAATACAATCATTGCCTTGGACAGTACTATCGCTAGCATGCGTGGTACTACCATCGAAACCACACAAATATTGCTTTTCGATTGACTCAAAGCGATACCACTGCTTGAACTTGACGATACCACTGCCCCGGCCCACTTTAGGTCACTGATTTAACCATCTAACATGTCCAATTTGATCATGGTTTAAGTCCAATGGGTTTCTTGACAAGTTGACATGGTTTCGACCCAATAGTAACTCAATTTAACTTAAAAAGATATCGATCAAGATTTTATAAATTTAACCTAGCACAATTAGAAAGCTTTCAACATGTTTTTTATAATAAACTTATTATTATCATATTAAACCTTTTTTGGATCACTTATTACAAAGATTAAGTTCTCATTGATCAAAAGACCTATTATAACCTAACATATCTCCCTCATGGATGATATTAGGATAATAATCTTTTTATCTATACTAAGACTATCATGACATATTATATAGTTATATTATTTTTAATATTAAAATCATGATGATATGAATAAACATGTAATTTATTTCATACATGATGTATAGTTAAATGTTGGTAATAATTATGCCAATAAAAATATAAATAAATTCATATTTATAAGTAAGAGATGTAAAGCTTCATATTTCTAATAAAATTTAGCATGAAGAAATTAATAATTTGCACATGATGTTGCAGATACAAATTTATCATTAACCCTTTTTTATAATTATTTCAAAAGATATTAAATAACATTAATATGAATTAAAGTCCCCATAATTTAAAAAAATATAACATAAAACTTATGATATTGGATAGGGTAGTTTTACTACCAATTTCAAGTGTCATGATATTTTCATGGGGTAAAAGCTCAATAATAAAATTTAATTTAATTTGATTGATAAGAATAAAATAATAAGATTTAGAAATCATTCCGAATAATTTTACCAATCTTTTGTGTAGGTTTATAGTTGGATTCATTCTCTTGATCGAATATCACAAGCAAACACAAAAATGAAAATAGATTTTGTGAAAAAAATCTTAAAATTGATTTTCTCAGAAAAGAGACTCTTAGAAATAAGAAAAACAAGATTTTTTTCAGTGTAAAACCAAACAGATGTTAGTGGTAATAATTAATATGTGTAATCATAAACAACGACTCCAATTAGAACGTCATATAAATATAGGAATATTAACAGAAAAACAAATAAATTAATAAAAACAAAATTTTGAGATTACGTTTTAGAATGAAATCTCTAAGTGTCCCAACCAATGCCTCCTCTGTGGCACTTCATGCGCTTAAAATATCTGCGTTTGACAAGCAGCTTCCATACGTGGATGGCTGTAACATCCGCTATGTGGACGTGCCACACATATTCTCCGACATGCATCCTACCTTCTTTCTTCCTTGAAGTCTCTTATATAAGACTCGAACCAAAACAGGTTTCGGCAACATTTGTGTTCGATTGTGTTCCCCACCGAAGCGCACAATGGCGAGGCCGATAATGTCGTTCGCCTTGGCAGCGTTGCTGCTTGGGTGTTCGCTGAGCTCTGCCGCAGAAGATGGATTCAGCTACAGGGAAGCTTTGACCAAGAGTCTGCTGTTCTTCGAGGCGCAGAGGTCGGGCAAGTTGCCGGCGGATCAGAGGGTGAAATGGCGAGGTGATTCTGCTTTGAAGGATGGCTTCAGCCAAGGGGTCAGTCTCTTAGTTCATCGTTGCATTCCATCATGGTTGCTTCGATCAACCTAATCGAGGTTCCTTCCTTGTCAGGTGGACTTGGTAGGAGGCTACTATGACGCCGGTGATCATGTGAAATTTGGATTGCCGATGGCATACGCTGTCACGATGCTGTCATGGAGCGTGATCGAGTTCGAGAAAGAGATAGTCGACGCGGGGCAATTAGAGTTCGCTCTCGATGCCATTCGCTGGGGAACCGATTACTTCGTCAAAGCACACAGACAACCCGATCTCCTCTGGGTGCAGGTAATGACTCTGCAACCAACATGAAAGCTTGGAAAGCATTCTTCTTACTTCGATAACCTGTGGTGAGCCTTGAAAAGGTCGGCGATGGAGATTCCGACCATATCTGCTGGGAGAGGGCGGAGGACATGACGACGCCGAGGACCGCATACAAGGTCGACTGCGAGCACCCAGGCTCTGAAGTGGCAGCCGAGACTGCTGCTGCGATGGCTGCAGCTTCCATAGTTTTCAGACCATACGATTCCAAGTACTCCGATCTCCTCCTCTTGCATGCACGGCAGGTAAGATATCATCAATGGTAATAACCACCATCTCTTACTATGAGCTTGAGTGATCAATATCTGATGTTGCTGCAGCTGTTTTCCTTCGCTGACACGTACCGTGGTCGATACGACGATTCGGTTCACTCTGTTCGCAAGTACTATCCTTCTTCCACCGGTTACTCCGTAAGAACGATTTCACTTCTTTCCCCACTATGTCATCTGCCGTTTGATGTGATCGAATTCCTTGTTAGAGTGCGACCGTGTCGATGGCCGAAGCTTTGATGCACTTGTTAATGGTGTAGGATGAGTTGCTGTGGGCTGCTGCTTGGCTTTTTGAAGCAACGGATGACAAGTCCTACCTGAACTATGTAGCTCAGAATGCTGTCGTCCTCGGAGGAACTGGATGGGCTGTTACTGAATTCTCATGGGACAACAAGTATGCTGGTTTGCAGGTCCTTCTGTCAAAGGTACACAACACAGATTTATCAGGAAATCATGGCTTCACATGCGACGTCTGTACGAGAACCTCTGTTCTTGCAGGTGTTGGTCAGGGGTGGTGGTGAAACCTGCAATGCCACACTCAATCAATACAAGGCAAAGGCTGAGTTCTTCCTATGCGCGTGCCTCCAGAAGAACAACGGCGACAACGTCGAAATGACTCCAGGTTTTCCATCGACAACGAGATTGTTTCTTGACATGCTCATCTACTTCCATTTCTAACATAGCCAGCATCCTTTCACGTCATTGTATCATATTAAGCTGCATGATTATGATGTCGTGAACAGGGGGTTTATTGTACTTCCATGACTGGCAAAACCTGCAATATGTTTCCTCGGCAGCGTTTCTGTCGGCAGTCTACTCCAATTATTTGAGAATGGCAAATGCTAACCTCGTCTGCCCTGATGGCCAAATCAGTCCTGAGATGCTACTAAAATTTGCAGAGTCTCAGGTATTCTACTTCATAGTATATCTCTGGCTTAGTAGTATTCCGAATTAGTAGCAGAAAGTTTTGCTTCCTTAGCACGAGAAGTCCTCATAAAAGACAACTTCTGCATTGCTGCAATTCATCAGGCCGACTACATTCTGGGGAAGAATCCAAAGTCCATGAGCTACTTGGTTGGCTACGGATGGAACTATCCCACTCATGTGCACCACAGGGGAGCTTCGGTTCCATCAATATTCGTGCTGCCTTCTGCTGTGGGATGCATCGACGGGTTCGATTACTGGTACGTCAACAAGGACAGCAACCCCAACGTCATCGAAGGAGCTCTGGTCGGAGGCCCTGATCTGAAAGATGAATTCTACGATGACCGGTGCAAATACGAGCAGACCGAGCCTTCCATCGCCGGAAACGCTCCCCTGGTCGGCCTATTTGCGGCGTTGGACGGCTTAGAAGGTGACAAAGGTAATCCATTGCATGACTGATCTCGTCGCTATAAACTAGAGCCCGAGAAAGAGAACTCAAGGATGTGAGCTTTGCAGGTCATTCTCCCAAGTACTCAACACCAGATTCATCTCCAGGTAAAGGGAGATGTCTCGATGACAGGTTGAAATGCTGAATGGGTAATTCAGAATGGTAACTAAATGTGTGCGCTATGATACAATTGCAGGTTCTAAACAAAAATCAGCAGGGCCAAATCCAAAGCCAAATGGTGAGTAGTGTTGCTGCTCAAGGGATGTGATTGAGCACTCCATGACTTGTTCAAGCTCTCAAGTCGATTCTTGTTTGCAGAAGCAGCCGTTGAGTTCGTGCACACCATAACCAATACATGGAAGTACCAAGGAGAGGACTACTACCGGCACCAGGTGGCCGTCAAGAACACATGCGGCGAGCGGATCACGTACCTCAAGTTGAAGATCGAGAACCTCACAGGGACTCTCTGGGGCCTCTCGCAGACGCAGGAGAAGAAGATGTACGAGCTTCCACCATGGTTGCAGGTGTTGGAGCCTGGCGCAGGGTTCGTCTTTGTCTACATTCAAGGTGGACCTCAAGCTGCAGTCTCAGTTGTTGCCTATCGCTGAGACTCTGTGATTGGTGCAAATGTTGAACTCCGTAAGACACAAGGATTTGACAGTGTTTTGATACTGTTTAGGTATCTGCGAGAGCTACTTGATTGGGAGTAAATTTGGTTTTGTTTTAGCTCTTCTCTGTCTTACCTTCTAAAATTCAGAAGAAAATAAAGCATATTTTGCCAATAATTTCTCATTTCTTTTAAAGTTTGTTTATTATATGGGTGGAAGCACAGCAATGAGCAAATAAAGGTCATCCAAGATTAAGAATAAATCAAAATTGCTTGCGACGGCGATGCTCCACCCGTCGGAGTGGAACACGAGAAGGGGTCCACAGGTAGATGGGCCGCTTCGGGACGGACCAATAGACGAGGGAGCTGATGGAGTTGAGAAGAGGCCGCGGTGGCAGTGGAGCGGACGTGGTTCTGGAGCATGGTTAAGGAACACTGGGTCCCACTCAGTCAGGGGGCGGACCCACCGGAATTCTGGGGCCCCAGTTTCGATGAGCTTCTCACATGTGAGGGTGGAGTTTTGGGCAGGCGGGGCCTCGTCGAGGTCCTCGATGAGGATAACTCGGAGCGGTTCGAGGGAATCGGGAAAGAGGCGGAGGGTGCCGTCGAGGAGGGGGCGAGAGATGACGTCGACGAAGACGAGCTTGAAGCCGCTATGGTGGAGGAGGACGGAGACAGTACGGGCATCGAGGCAGGTGTTCATTGTGTTGAGAACGGCGCCGCTCATCGGCACGACGAAGTGCATGTCGTACATGGCCGGAGTGTTGGGGGGCGAGCACCGTCACCTAAAAAGATGGGATTTTTACACCAGAAAATGCCCATCAAGATCAGATTGTAAAAGTAAAAAAGCGTGAAGAAGATAAGATGTATGAATTTTTAGGGGAAATGTAAAGGAAGAAATTGGGACACGCAAGGTTCGGGCGAAAGAGTACCACGTCGGCGCGGGAGATGCCGAGGGAGGAGAGGACGGAGGCAGCGGCGGTGGGTCAGGGACCAGGTTGTAGACGACGGAGGGGCAGTCGCCGTAGATGGGGGCGGTGCGCTTCAGGTCGCTGAGCGGTGTGAGGGCGACTGTTGGCGGCGTTCGCTTTTTTCAATAACCAAGTAACAGTTAGTTTAGAGGCATTTTGGAAAGGAAAAAAAATCCCAAAATATCTCCTAAAATTCTTATTCTTTTTCACACCAATTCATTCGCTTGCATGTTATTATTATATCTATGGAAATACATCAACTTTTCAAAATGAAACTTTGATCGAAATCTTAAAATCAAATTATAAATTTTTATACTAATTTAAATTATTCTATTAAAAATAAAAATTATAAAACGACATATAAAAAAGAGAAGTGGAACGGTCTCGGATCCGATTCGATTTCGAAGTATCGTGTTAATCTAAAGTACACAAAGCAGTCTCGACCACTATAAAAGAACAGCTTGCATGGAGTAGCGAGATTGCAGCAGCGAATGCAGATAGATGGTTTTTGTCAGCGTCACAAGACAAATGATTTAGTTGGGAGAGAGGGAAAGCCGATACGGACGGCAAAACCGAGACTCTTCCTCTGTACATTTAGGTAGGTGAGATGTTGGGTGAAGTTTTTGTGCTTTCTTGGTAAGCACTAAAATAATCGATTTGATTATTTTGGCTGAGCTTTCGAATGATTCCTTTGGTTTGATTCGATTTGGATGATTCGGAAACTCCACCCAGATTCCAACGATTCCCCTGAAGCCAAATCGAAGGAGAGAAAGATTTCGGTGTCAAAAGGTTGAATCTAAGCGCAATCTATTAATGCTGCCGCTTGTCGATCCCAATCCTCGACCATAGAAATCAGCTAGAGGAGGAGATGGCAGCAGAACAGCAGGAGGCGAAAGCGATGGAGGAGGACACGGCCGCAGAGGCAGAGAACGGCGAGGCCGGAGCCAGGAGGAGGAGGAAAGAGGACGATTTGGAGGAGGAAGAGAGAGAATTGGTGGCGGCGGCGTCGATAGAGAGGGAGTTCGACGGGAAGCGGGTTCCGACGTGGCGGGAGCAGCTGACGGCGAGGGCCTTCGCGGTGAGCCTCGTGCTCGCGGTGGTGTTCAACGTGATCGTGATGAAGTTCGTGCTCACCACCGGCATCGTCCCCTCCCTCAACGTCTCCGCCGGCCTGCTCGGCTTCTTCTTCGTCCGGACGTGGACGGCAGCGCTCGGGAGGGCTGGCCTCCTCCGCCGCCCCTTCACCCGCCAGGAGAACACCGTCATCCAGACATGCGTCGTCGCCGCCTCCGGCATCGCCTACAGCGGTAACACCGCCACCATCACCTCCCCCTCGTATCTTCCTTGCTGCTTATTCTACGCGATGCAGGGGGCTTCGGAAGTTACCTCTTTGCCATGAGTGAAACCATCGCCAAGCAATCCACAGTAGCCAACGATTCACAGAACATAAAGAATCCAAGACTAGGATGGATGATCGGCTTCCTCTTTGTTGTTAGTTTCCTGGGATTGTTCTCCCTCGTGCCCTTGAGAAAGGTCAGTTGTCTGCTTCGATGCAGTCTCATCTGATCTCCACAGTAAAATTGCATGCTAAATTGATGTGTTCAGATAATGATCATCGACTACAAGCTGACCTATCCGAGTGGCACCGCGACGGCGAACCTAATCAACAGCTTCCACACCCCTCAGGGAGCCAACCTAGCGAAGTAACTCGAAACAACCATGAACGGTTGCCCTTGTTTTCTCCGGCGACTGACTCGGTCAGGGAACTCGTTAATGTTTCTTGCAGGAAGCAGGTGAGAACGCTGGGCAAGCTCTCGGTATGCAGTTTCCTTTGGGGTTTCTTCCAGTGGTTTTACACAGGTGGAAAGGACTGTGGCTTCATCAACTTCCCTTCGTTAGGCCTCAAGGCTTACGACAACATGTATGCATCTCAAAACCTTCAAAACTTGTATGACATTTATCTGATACGTAAAGGATTGCAGGTTCTACTTTGATTTTTCGGCTACTTACGTTGGGGTCGGGATGATTTGCCCATACATCGTGAACATATCTGTGCTCTTGGGAGGCATTCTCTCATGGGGAATCATGTGGCCTCTGATAGGCAACAAGAAAGGCGATTGGTACCCGGCAGACGCGTTGGGCAGTCTTGATGGGCTCCAAGGTTACAGGGTAATAAGCATCTTCCCCGCTCATTGATCGACTTTGATCTTTTTGAGTAAGCATAAGCATGTTGCAGGTGTTCATAGCAATCGCCTTGATCCTTGGAGATGGCCTCTACAACTTCGTCAAGGTCATGGGCAAGAGCACAGCCGCCTTCGCGTCACAGATCAGAAGCAGAAGATCTGCAAGAACGCACACCTTCGCCATTGACACATCGGCCGTCTCCTTCGACGACAAGCGCCGCACCGAGCTCTTCCTTCAAGACCAAATCCCAAAACCAATCGCCTACGGAGGCTATCTCCTCCTCGCTGCTGTCTCGACCGCAACGCTGCCCCGCATCTTTCCCCAGCTGCGGTGGTACTATGTGTTGGTGGTCTACGTGTTCGCACCGGCGCTGGCGTTCTGCAACGCCTACGGCGCTGGCCTCACCGACTGGTCCCTTGCGTCGACCTATGGGAAGCTTGCAATCTTCGCCATCGGCGGGTGGGCTGGCGCCGCCCACGGCGGCGTTCTTGCCGGCCTCGCTGCTTGTGGCGTCATGATGAACATCGTCTCCACGGCCTCGGACCTGATGCAGGACTTTAAGACAGGGTATCTGACTCTGGCCTCACCGAGGTCCATGTTCATCAGCCAAGTAATCGGCACTGCCATGGGCTGCGTCATCGCCCCATCCGTCTTCTGGTTGTTCCTGAAGGCGTTCGACGACATCGGCATCCCCGGATCGGAGTACCCAGCACCTAATGCCCTTGTTTATCGTAACATGGCCATACTTGGGGTGGAAGGCTTCTCATCGTTGCCGAAGAACTGCCTCACCCTCTGTTATGTCTTCTTTGCTGCTGCTATTCTCATCAACCTGCTGAGGGACGTGACCGGGAAGAAGGTGGGCAGGTGGATACCGCTCCCCATGGCCATGGCGATACCGTTCTACTTGGGATCTTACTTCGCCATAGATATGTGCGTGGGCAGCTTGATCTTGTTCGTCTGGGAAAGGATCAACAAGGCCAAGGCAGACGCATTCGCGCCAGCCGTGGCTTCGGGTTTGATCTGCGGTGACGGAATATGGTCTCTTCCGCAGTCTTTTCTTGCTCTTGCTAAAGTGAAGCCACCCATATGCATGAAGTTTTTGTCGAGGAGCATCAACCTGAAGGTGGATTCATTCATCGAATCCCTGTCTCCGTAGCAGATTTGATCCAGTAAATAGCAGAGTATCTGACAATAAAGAACAATTGCAGACGAGATTAAACAGAAGATGGTGATCTATAGGAGGCAAAGGATAAGAATCCTCCAAATTTTAGTTGTGCTCTGTTATTGTATAGAACATGCTTCTCATATATATACTACAATATACAGTGCTGGAGTCATCTCCATGTAGCTAAATAACATTTTCTACCATCTTATTTGGAGTTACATTGAGGCTGCTTCTTAAGCTCTACTGATTGCTTCCATGAAGCCTAATCAACAGTTCAGGCATCACTTGAATCTGATGAAATGAAAAGGTAGGACAAATAGATGTTTTATGGTTCTTGACCAGAGCAAGAAAGAGATTGAAATGTCAACAATTCAAGAAAGCATGTCCAGAATCTTGCTATGTAACCCCTTTTTCCAATAAGAACTCCTACAATGCATAAACTACCCAACAAAGCCGCCAAGATCTTTCATGTTTGATACTCTTGATAAGGTATATTTTTGGTCCAGCATCACGAGCAATGCCACATAGCATTGTAACCAAGTAAGCAAGAGGGGCACCCCTACGCATCAAGCCAGGGACCGTATCAAGGCGTGGATCGACACGTCCCGTCCCGGAAAGAGTTCCGTGCGTCCCGGAGCGACAACCGCACGAAGGTGCCACCTCACCTCCTGAGGATCGACTGCTACGCCTGCGTACATAAAAGGACCCGGCCAGGGAGAGTAAAAAAACTCCAACTCACCACTGACTTGATCGTCGGAGGGATCAAAATCGGGAAACATCCGACGACGATCTTTTTTACAGGAAAGCTATCATCGCAGGCTAGAAGGCACTGACCAAATCCCCACTGCCAACACTCAAAGTGGTGTTCGATCAGTCTCGAAACCCGACTCAACCGACCAAAAACTCCTGACATTACCCAGTGGACTAGGCCATGCTGACTTTATCAACCACGGCACATCGATCCATCAACAACTCCCACTCGTTTCTTCCACAGCTTTTCATCCAATTTGAAGGTGCGGAAAAGAGCAGTTCTACTTCGCAGGATCACGAGAGCCTGAAGAGATTGTTGCATGCAGACTTGATCTTCCAACGAATATAGACCGCTCGAAAAAGCCACCGAAACGATCGTCTGTAAGATCTGTCGTGTTTTCCAAAGACTTTCTTGAACCATCAACAACCTTCTTCCTCGGGCTTGCACCGAAGACTGAGAAGAGGAGGGAGACCAGTGAAGCCTGCACGAGTTCACGGTTCAAGAAAGCCTGTGGAAAGCACGTCCAGAATCCCGCAACGTTTCCTCCGATGTACGCATGGAACTAATGGAAGACGAAGTTCGCATGGATGTTCGGGAATTCCCCGGTTTAAATAGACGTATGCGGCGACGAAATCGCGGCTGTTTAACGTAAATCTGGGCCATCGATCCCGTGATGGACGGCGCGGATCGCGTCTTGGGGATTGCTTACCAAGTAGTCCTCTCCACCTTCTCCGGCAGGCCGGCTGGCTGTGTAAGCTTTGGCTGACCCGAAGAAGGCGGAAGGACGATATAAATCATTTAACCCATCTTCCTGTCAAGAACATGGCAGGAAGTAAGCACGAAATTGGGACGGCTTTTGAGCCCTAATCCGCGGCATGTTCTCGAGTAACTTTTCCGGCAATTTCCCTTCTGTCGATCATACCATCCGAATGGAATTCAACAAAAAAGATGTACGATTTCCAAGAGCTTCATGGTATAATGTTAGAACTTCACATCTCTTTTAATTATAAGCTTTGTCATAGAACTTGTTCTCGAGATAACAATGAAAACATAAAAGACGAGAATGAATGAGACGACCTTAATTAACTGGATCAATCATAAGCACGAAACTCGATGCACCATCCATCCATCCATCCTTCCCAAATCATATATTATTAAATAAGCGTAAAGAGAAAGGATTACTGAGTGATTCGCAATGGGCTATAGCTACGATATCATTTTCAAACAAAACTGTAGGGATCAATAAGGCATGATAAATCGTAAGGCCGCATCGTCTATTAGCGACATGATAAGATTCTAGGATTTTATCATAGAATAGAAGAAAGAAAAAAGATATCACTTTGATAGGATCGAGATCCATATTTATAGAGTTCCACCCTTGAGTCCATTAAGACTTGGACTCCTAATAAATAAATAAATCTCAAATAAATCTTTATCCGATTCTTATTGAATTAGATAAACTTAATAAAATATTATTCAAAACTCAAAAAATAAAAAGAATTGATCAACCTTTGTCGACATGATATCCTACAATAAACCCTCTTGTCAACATTAGTCTAATTAAGCAACACAATCCATCTCAATCCTAATTATAAAGTCCATAAATTGAAAGATCAAAATATTATCGAGTCAAATAATCGATTATATCATAGATTAAAATATAAAATTAAATAAGAAACGGAACAACCTATCATAACCCCATCAGTGAAAGAAGAGAGACAGACGATTTGAAAGACAAATGAAAATAAAACATAAAATTAATGCCTAAAGAGATTATAATTTACATTTGATTGGAATTAAGTTAGAAGTTAGAATCGAAGGATGAGTGTTTATTTCAATAGGGTTATGACTGTGGTTTAGGTCTATAAATAGAAGATTGTGCCCTATTCATCACACACCAAGCTAAGAGAGAGGGTGAGGTGCTGTTAAAGTCTATAAGACTTCCGAGTAATAGAGTTTTTTAAATCTTTTTTCTTTTCAAATCTTAATTTTTATGAATATTTTAATTATCAACTTTGTCTGAGAGCCATGAGTAAGTAAGACATCAAGTGAAGAACAAAATGATCGAAATGAAATATTATAAAAGTGAAGATTAAGTTACAGTATTTTTTATAAAATCTTTGAAAACTATCCATGTGAAGATTACCTTTAGTTTTAAAAAAATTAAATAAAAAATGTTAAATATTATAATTTAAATTTAATTAAAATTAAATTAAAATTTTGAGTTGAAATAAGAGCTTAGTTATAATTTTGTGGTTTAGGTCTATAAAAATAGATTGCTCCTCCATCACACCATATATTATAATCGAAAGATGAAACGCGGATGTCAAATACGAGAGTGAGATAAATTTTTTTTAGTTGAAGACTTACCATAAAAATTTAAAGTGAAATCGAAAAAAAATTATTAGTGAGATTAAAAGAGAAATCGAAAAAATATATATTAGTTGAAGGCTCACCATATATTTTTTCTTTCTCTCTCTGTTATGGTAAGCCTTCAACTAATAATTTTTTTTTCGATTTCTCTTTTATTCTCTCTCTCTCTCTCTCTCTCTCTCTCTCT